CGTCAGGATCCCACTGTTGGTGCACCCTTTGCAGGTGCCTGCTTCTGACCCAGCCACCCCTGCCCTTCCCCTTCTAGCTGATTCCTCCAGCAGGTTCCAACAGGGTTTTGCTAATTTGTTGTGTGAGCACCTCCCAGCACTGGTCCGGTCCAGGCAGAGTGAAATGTCCAAACTGATGGGCGTGTCCCCCTAAGGAGGGGGCAGCAACAGGTTTGGTTTGCCCGTGGGTTTAAAAGATCCGTGCTCCGGGCCCTCAGAGTGTCAGTGGGCTTCATAGTCCTGGGTCACACAGCTTCTGTTACCAAGAGCTTTCTGATCGCTCGTCTCTCACAGGTGTGAGCCTTTCCAAGGGCAGTGGCATGGTCTCTGGGGACCTGGGTTCCCCATCTCCTGTGGCCTAGAGGACGTGGTCATCAATGTGGTATCCCGTGCTCTGTAGTGGGGGCTTGCTCCAGTGCAAGGCTGGTGTGGCTTGCACAGACAGGCTGGGGGTCTGGGGAGGGGTCTGGGGCTGGTGGGAAGGCCCACCTTCCTCTCTCAGTCTCGACGTCCATTTTGTGACTTTCCCTTTCAGGGGAGCCAGAAAGAGCTCTTCAGTTTCCTTCCTGTTGAGATTATCCTTCCCTCTTTGCAATGCGCCCTGGGCTAGGAGTTGCTGGGAGGAGCTGGGAAGAGGGGCATGCAGCATGCGGGGCGTCTTTGGGCTTTGCCCTTGGATGGAAGGACCGCAGATGTGGCCCTGAAGATGCGGAGGGGTCCCGGGGCTGCAGGGGATCTGTTTACTTTATCTGAGGGATGGACTCCAGGCCTGGAAACCCCAGCCATCCAGACACCAGGAGGCAAAGTCTGGCTGTGGAGAACAGGCAAGGTTGATCCACTGTTGGGGTGCTTCATGGGACGAGGTCACCATGACTCCCTTCCTTTGCTACCCTGGATTGAATGTTGGTGAGAAAAGAATTTCTCCTCTAACTGAATGCTTGCCTCCTTCACCGCTTCCCTCCTCAACCCAGAGCTTGCTCTCCATGGGCCTATGTGCTTTCTTTTAACCCAGCGCTGCCCGCCCAGAGGTGACCCACCCTGAGCTAGGTCCTCCCATGTCAATCATCACTCAAGAAAATTACCCACAGACATGCTGTCAGGCCAGCCTGATAAAGGCATTCTCCCGATGGAGGCTCCCTCTTTCTCCATGACTTTAGCGCATCTCGAGCTAACAAACAAAACAAAGACAGAACACCGAGGCGCACACAGTCCCAGGATGTCCCTCCTGTGGAGGTCTGCTCAGGGTCCCCTCTGGTGAAATAAAGACAAGAGTGTCTGAGGGGCAGCTCTCCCTTCTTGTACAAGGAGAGCACTGCTTCATGTATGTTGCTTGATACTTACAAAAATGACCCGAAAAGGCTATCACCAACAAAAAGATTCTTGGTTCGTAAGATTACACATTTGCTCTTAAGTCATAGCAAAGCCTTTGGACCATTCTTGTGGCAACAGAGTTCCTCTGATTCTTTCAGATGTGTCTCCCATGCCTCAGAGGTCAGGCCACTGTAGGGACATCCACATTTTTTTCTTTGAAGGTTCAGAGTGAGTCTGCTAAGACAGACAGACAGACAGGAGAAATGCTCATCTGTCTGTTCATGAGCACATGGTCACAGGGCCACACATGCTTGAAATTTTTAAAATTTTTTTTTTTTTTTTTTGGTTGTGAGCCACCATTGTGGTTGCTGGGAACTGAACTCAGGACCTCTGGAAGAGCAGCCAGTGCTCTTAACTTCTAACCTCTGCATCTCCCCAGCCCATAGTGTGGAACATAGTCTCTTCTGCCTTTGGATCAAGGTGTAGAACTCTTGACCCCTGCAGCCTGCCCACACACTGCCATGTTTCCTGCCACAGTGATAACCATTTCTTGGAATTGCTGTACAAACTGGCCAAATGAAATGCATTACTCAAATTCCTGTTGTTGTAAAGTAAAGAAAATGCCATGGCCAGACACACACACACACACACACACACACACACACACACACACACACACACACTTGAATTTTTACCTCCATTCTGAGCAGCTGTAGAAACTGGACAAAGGCGGCTGGGGTGGATGGCAACAAGTTATAAGAGGGTAAAGGGAAAAATGCTCTTTAGTCAACAGGAACAAGACCCCCCTCCTGGCCTTGTAGGGATTCTTACAGAACAGATCAAATCTGACTAGAGTTTGTTGAAGTTTGGTTGTTTTTCTCTCTTCCTTGGTGTTTAATCTTCCAAGCTATTTGATAAGGTTCTTAAGGAATTGAAATTTATTTTTGAGGAAAATTCCCTGCCCAGGCTGAGCAAGCCATGAAGAGCAAGCCAGTAGGCAGCGCCCCTGCATGGCTCCTCATTAGCTCCTGCCTTGAGTTTTCTACCTTGCTGCTCTGTATGATCAGCTGCTATGTGGAACTGTGAGTGAAATAACCCCCTTTCTCCCCAAGTTGCTTTTGGTCATCGTGTTTCATCGCAGCAATGGTACCCTAACTAAGACAGAAGTTGGTACCAGGGGTAGGGTATGGCTGTGACAATCTGACCTTGTTGCTTTGGGAGGACTGTGGAAGGTCTTTGGAACTTTGGGCTAGAAAAGCCATTGAGTGTTGAGAGCTCGGTGGACTGTTCTGTAGGAGCTTGGAAGGTAAGAATGTTGAGAGCAGCATAGACGATGGAGGCCTGGCTTGTGAAGTTACAGAGAGAAGCAAGGACTCTCCTGGGCCTTTTGTGTGAAAAATCTGTGGTTCTGGTCAGCTGGGGCTGAAGAGATGTGATTAACTGGAGTCCAGAACCACTAAAGTGAAACCTTGCTCCGATGGGAAAATTGAGGCTGGTCGGCTGGGGCTGAAGAGTCGGCTGTGATTAAGAAGAGGCCAGCATCATGGAGGCCCAGGCTGCTGGGAAGTGTTTCCCAAGAGTCTCTGCTGTGCCCCAGAAGCAGCAACTTGGTAATGTTAAGAGTTACCCAGGTGGTGCTGGTTCTGAGGTGTGAAGGGGTCATGGAGAGCAGCTGAGGCTGGGCGCTGTGTGGCAGGGCTGGGGTCCCTGAACGCCGCTACTGGCCAAGGGGAAGCCCAGCTGCAGCAAGGGACCCCAGCACCGTCATTAAGAATAGCGGTAGGCGTGGAGTGGAGCCTGCCAGAGCCTACAGACAGGTGTGGGAGTGCAGAGGGCGGGGCCAGGGAAGTGACCCAGGAGGGGCCAGAGCTCCTGAGTGGACCGGAGACACTGGACATCGCGTTGTTGACATAGTTGGAGTCTGGTTTTGTTTTGTTCAGATTCTGACTGTGCCCTGGTTCTTCTCTCTTGAAATGATGAAGTATTTAACTTATTTCTGATTTTATAGGGCCCAATTGAGAGATGTTTGGATTTTAAAAGAGACCTTGGATTTAAAAAAAAAAAAAAAAACAGAATTTTTAATGTGTGTGAATTTGTAAGAGTGTGTGAATTTGTAAGAGTGTGTGAATTTGTAAGAGTGTG